TGTCTTAGTGAGAGATATATTAGGAATTATCAAACCGTCGTCAGGTTCTTGAAAATTTTCAGAAATATTTGTATTACTTGTATTCGTTCTTCCACTGTTGGAGTTTGAATTCTGCAATTTTGGTGTAGAAGTTCTACCTTTTAAGAGAACTGCTTGTTCTGTACTTTTACTAGCTTCTTTAATAGATATCGAAGATACATCACTGAAATCTGGTAAACCATAGTTACTATCAAATTGCTTCTTTACAGGTGAAATTATTCTTTTGACAGCGTTTATTGGTGTTACATCAGAATTTGATGAGGAACTTAAGGCACTTGCTTCACGTGTCTTTTTCAATGTTGTTATCGCCCAACCTAGACCAAGTTTTTTGAGAGCCATTTCCATCTCTTCCGGAGACGACGCATATTTTAATATAGTAGAAGATGGGGTACTTGCTATTTGTGAAACCCCAGATAATTCAGAAAAACTATTTGAACTTGTAGATGTTATCTTATCCTTATTGCCTTTATATTCATTATTTGCATCAGTGCTAGTATAACAAAAGGACTGCAATTTTTCCATCTGCAATGATTCTTGATTAACTATGCCGCATTGTAATTTTTTATTGATTATCCCTTGAGCAACATCTTCCTTTTGTTCATCTTTATTCTTCATTAAATTTCGATTTCCTGTACTTTTAAGTGTTTTTGGTGAATCAAAAGGTATTGAGGTCTCTTTTACTTTCTGTGTAGAAGTCACTGAAAATAATTTTGTAACTGAAGAATTACATAACTTTTCTGAACATTGTTTATGTAAATTGAGCGGAATAATGTGTTCTGATGGATCAACTGCTACAGTAGATTTAGTTATTTGAGTTTCGGCAATTTTCTTTGTTGACAATGGACTTCTAATATTACTTTGACTTTTATTTACAGTATCTGGTGTATCGAATTCAATTATCGTTGATAATTCATGACCTGATGATTCAATTTCAGCCCTGAATAAAATTTCACCTATATGGTCCACTAAGCAAACTCACTGGTGGCTTACTTCTTCCATTAGTATGCACGGCACTATCTATTGTTTTTGATACTTTTGGCATATCAGTAAGTAATGGAACAAAATCTTTAGTCTTTTTTGACTAAAAATATATCGAAATATTAATGATTAAATGAAAAGTTACATATTATTATTAGTAATTTGATAGCATAAATTACCTCTTTGTTAAAATGTTTTTTCGTAGCTACATCATCTGCTTGTACTTTTGAGGAAGTATTATTTTTGAAATTATCGGTATCAGTTGAAGTTTGAATCGAGCACTTTACTGTTGAATTATAAATTTCCTTCGATGTTACTAAATTATTATTAAAACCTTCACTTTGCTCTAAAATTTCTTTTGATAACTGTTCTATCATCTCTTTCTCATATTGTTTCGGTGTAAGCCACGTGTCACGTTCTGGAGTTGATGTCGTTAATATTTGAGGTGATTTTTGTATCTTAAATCTGCTAAGCGGAATGTTGACTCTTTCCTCGCTTATGATCTTTGGCTTTATTTTGGCTTCTTCTACTTCTACTTTTGGTTCAACAGGATGACTTGTATTATTAGATACATCACCATTAGTTGAACTTACTCTTTCTGCCTTTTTAATTTGTTCAGTTTCTTCATTGATAATTGTATTATTCTTAATGATTTTTTGAGATTCAATTAATGTTTTTGCCAGTTGATTATGAATTGCTTCGATATTTTCTACAAGTCTACGAATACTTTGCAAATCATTAGCTACTAATTTTGGTGAAGGTAATTGCATCAAACTGGTTTCATCATGTGGATCATGTGGATCGATTAACGAAAATTCCATACCTAAAGTGTATTAAATAATAATTATTCTCTACAAGTTTCATATAGTGTAATTATTGTTATGAGTTTATAAAAATAATGTACCTTTTTGTTCATTTCGAACTTTTTCAATAAGGTTTGTTAATGAAACTATTCTTTCTGCACATGTCACTTGAAGATCTTCATACTTTTGTAATATTTGAGGACAATTTTTCAATGCATAATTACGAATTTCATCAAACTTAGCATGTATCTGTCTACATTCTGGATTATTACATAAACAAAATTCCAATGAAATTGGAACTTTTGAATATGCAGCTATACTTTCTGATGATATATGTTCATTTTGTTGATATTCAGACAAATCTGACGATGTTGAATAGTCATTTTTAGTAGATGATTGTATATTATTATCATTTGTTTGAGAATCTGTACGTGCATATCCAAGTAATTTTTTAATTCTTTCTGGGTGAGGTATATTTGAAGGTATTCTCATTGTACGTGGCGATGGCGTTTCTGGTGTTGATACCGGACTAATATCTCTCCTTAAAAGCCTCATACTTTCATTGGCTGAAGAATCTAACATTTCGAGAATAGAGATGTTATTACTTAAAGCTTCAAGTACGTCTCTGGGTTTTATTGGTGGTGGACTAGCAAAAGATGTTGATGTATCTGAGATATCCTTTATTTGAATACTTTTTGATTTGGAATGAATCAATTGTGGTTTACCTAGAGATTGTTCTTGAGTACCTGTTGAATATACTTGAGTGCTTTGGGTACTTACATCTACAGCAATTTTTGCAACTGGAGATTGTTTTACTTTACTATTGAGCCCACTTTTATCAACACATATTTTAATTTTTTTATTAGGCACATCGTCCGCATCCATATACTTTTTCGTGCTACTATATTGTGATTTGGACAGAGATTTTGAAAGTTTCTTTATTGGAGACGAAGATTTACTTATGCGTGATGAACTCGATTTGTGAAACATTTTTGATGGAATTTGCTTTAATGGTTTTACGTTATTTTTCTTTTTTTTAGGAGTTGTTTTTGTACGTTGTTTATCAGTATCGATAATTACATTTGTAATGTCAGAACTTGTTGATTCACTACTATCTGCTTCATGTCTGATAACTATAATTTGTGGTTCAATTGGATAGTGTTTAATAATTGTTTCAACTTCACCATTAATAGATTCAAATTTACCTTTCTTTTCTTGTACCAATTCTACTTGCGTGCCCTTATCTTGAACAATACTATTTTTATCTTCTGTTGTAGTTTGTACAGCAATTTCTACTTTTTTAATTAAAGCATCACGTTTTTCTTCCGTTTTATCCTTTTCATAGTTTTTATCATAAAGTGCGGTTATTACTTTTATTTCGGGTGACAAAGGTTTTTGAATATGTATCTCTTGAAAACTCGTTGATTGAGTCTGTACCGATTTATCTCTTTCAAAAAGAGGCTTCACAGATGCATTAAAAATGTCATTTGGTAAATCTGCTCCAAATTCTTGTAATAAAAGCCGTTTTTGTCTTTCAACTTTTTTTAACATATTTAATATTTGTTCATCACGTGTAGCCTTACTGTCTTTACACGTATTTTGTAAAATTTTGCTAGTTTCTGTACGTCCACTGAAGCAATATGGTTCTTCCCAAACAACGTGTGTATCTACGTTTTTGTCATTTTCTCTTGGTGTAAGAGTAATTTGTCTCTCCATAGTATGCGTTTTACATTGTTCTGAAGATTCTTCGTTTAATAAAATTTTTAATGCATGATTTAGTTTCTTTTTATGTTGGTCCTTCAAAATTTTTCTGCGTTCTTCCTGCATATGTACATCTTTCTAAAAAATGGAGAAGTACATCGTAATTAATTAAACATTTACAGTAAAACTAGAAAGATTAAAATATGATACGTACCGGGTAACGTTCTATTTGACTAGCTTTTAATTTTCGTTCCTCACTCGCAAGGTGATTTAAATTTTGCATAAGTATTTGATAATCCCGACGTACTTTTTCCCTTAATGCTGCATCTACTCCACGTTTTTGTGCACTATGTTTGCGACTTTTCAATAAATGCGTTTCAGCCGTTTGTGCTCGTTCGATTTCTTGAGCTAAATCTATTGCGCTTGGCTATAAACATAAACTTAACGTTAACAAATATTTTTACATATTATAATTTGATAATATTTGTTGTTGTTATTATTATTAATTTGATCTTATATTTTAGTAATTACAAACCTCGTTCCATGCATGTATCTTTTCAACTGCACCAACTGGTTGATTGTACATATTACTTTGATGTTTACTATGATCATATAACTGTACTTTATAAGTGGCTGGGCACTTAACATATTTTATTGTCTTTATTTCTTTATTCATATATTGTTCACCACTATCAGAAAAATATGATGAATCATCACTAAACGAATTAGAACTATCACTATTAGTAGAATCTGAAGTTGTTTGTACATAGTCTTCTGGATTATACCTTTAATACCCAAAAGATTTATCAGAAATTATTTTTTTATTAAGTTTAGTATTATAATACATACCTTTGTGCTTTGTCAACTTTTGTTGAAATATTTGTAACTTCTTTTCTAGAACTTTTATCATCATATTCAGATCCAGATCTTTGAGCAATATTTTCAGACAATGGTTCTACAGCTGATGTAATAGAAGATTGCTGTTCAACAACTAAAGAATCATTTTCTGGATTAGTTCCTACTGTTTTTGCTTTACATTTTGAAATTGGTAAACATGTTTTAAAATCACTTCCTACAACCTATAAACAAAGTTGCAAAATATATCAATTTGTGAATAAAAATTTAATATTACAATTATATGGAAAGAATATACTTTTATATAGGCCTTTGTAATCTTCCCAGGTGATGTTTTAGATAAAATTTTCTTTGTTTTTTTTTTAACAGACTTCTCTTGTTTATTTTGTTCATCTCGAACAGATACACATATAGTATCCTCTTTAGGTGTTGCTTCTTTAGGAAGTTTTGCTATCAAACTAGACCTGAGATTCTCTACTTCCCTTATTTGACGTAGCCGCTCTTGATGTTGCTGTTGTACAGTCTCTTCCTACACAGATTTTACTTAAACTTTTATAAATTTTATTCTAGTACAGTATACTAATATTTATAGTTGTTCTCAATGATTTAATAAACTATGAAAATTAAGTATTTTACCTGCTGAATGTTTTTAATCTGTTTCATTGCTTCTTTTCCCCTTTTCGATGCTGCTGATTTATTTCTCCTTTCTTTTTCTTCTATCAGTGCATCATGATCTGGTTCTAATGCAGCAGATATATGTGCTTGACCGATATCTGCCATGTCCTCTTGATATTTTTGCTGAATTTCCATAATTTTTCCATTGTATATTTGTCTCAAATTTAATTTTTCATTATTTTCAAGCTTTTTAAGTTCTTCTTTAGCTATATTCTTAGTACGTTCCAAAAGTCTATCTGATATTTCTTTTGATTGTTGTCGGACCTGTGGAAATTCTTTAAGTGATTCTTTCAATCTTTCTATTACCAATCTTGTCATCAACCATGTTAATATTTTATCTACTTTTAGTACAATAAAACAGTTACTATAACACTGTAATATTTTATATGAATTATATTTAATTATTAATATCTGTATTAATTATGCAATAAGTAT